TGAGTTTCAGCTGCTGTTGTATTAATGATATTAACTAGAGGGACGACAATGAGACAACCCCCAAAACAGGAATGGTTTTACAGGTGGAGGCCACTGAAATCCTTCCATCCTCATCTTTTCTCAGTTTTTTTCAGTAGTTTTGCATTTGGCTCAGGTTAGCGACATGATACCTGGACCCTACAGAGGTTAAACAGGTAGAACAGTATCTGCTGCTTCGCGCAAAGGCGAACAGGATGGTTGGTATGACCAAACAATCAGAATCAGAGTTCATGAGGATAACCTGAGGGCCTGACATCCTCTGTGCTAGTCCTCTAGCCTGTGCTCAGTGCTCATTGGTTTTAGGACAAATTCAGACATATAGTGGTTAACACATTTGTTTGGTAAGTGATAGTTTGCTGATTCAGTTCCAACCAGAGACACAAATTCCCCTTGGGTTTGTGTCTAACGCCAGGAAAGGCATCTGGCATTAAAATCTGCCAAATCAAATTTGCAAAGCTCCATGCTTATCAAGGGATACAGTCAGGTAAACATGGAGAATTTAGTTAAGATGCTAAAAAAGCATGTAATTGCTGTAAAATCTGACTTGTTGTGGAAGCTGTTGCTCAGACAGAGCAATCCTTCTTTTTTTTCAGTTCTGGAGTTCAGCATTTGGTCGAACGTGTTCATGGACATCACACGTCCCATGATCAAACTAGCTGATGCTTTTTTTTTTAATTTTTGGAAATCAGTGTTACATCAAACTAAAGTGAGCAGAAATACAACACAAATTCCCACCACAAGCACCCTTCTTGACTACCATCTGACCTGTTCATACGTCATAACCTTTCCGTATTATGCAAAGCCTGACAAAATGTGCGATGATTCAAAAGTGCTGTTTAATTATTAGCTATTTTGTACCGTTGACTGCAGCACTCAGTTATTTTCACTCGGTCTATTTAGAAGAAAGTCTAACTCACCCGGTAGCCAGCTGAGTAACACCTTGTGTGTTTGTGTGTGTCATGCACTGCCCCCCAAAAAGCGTTTGACCTCTGAAACATTATGCAAGCTGCCTCCCACTCAGCATGCACACAAACAAGCGTGTGATTCATTCCACATGCATCACATACGTGCTGCTCGTCCTACAAATCAGAGATGAAATTAAGCAGCCAGATTACACGCTCGCGGGTTTGGCCCCAGGTCTTGTCCTCGGTTCATATAAATAGCCGCGGGCACAGAGAGGCAGTTTTTGCGGTATATGCCCTCTTTAGGAGGATGACACAGCATCAGTGTTGCTCACTTTGTATTTATTCGTAACAGAACAGCTTTTCAAGTGAAACATATCACTCAGAATCAAAGATTGCTTTTACTGGATGATTTGTGATGCACTATAGTCCCTTGAAATGTGGAAGCAATGGCACAGATTTCAGTTAGAAGGATATTTGAAAGGAAAGTGACAGAAAATACATATGAGCCAAAGCAATTGAAAAAGACAGAGGAGACAAGAAGATGCAAGCTGTGACACTGAGTACGGTAATGGAGCATTCGTGCCTCGAGCAGTTAGCATAATTGTAGTTGATGTTTGGTTTTACTCGTTTCATTTCTTTAAATAAATAGTATCTTTCTTGCAAGTGAGTTAAAGACTGCCAGAATATCATTTTAACCCACTCAGCAGCCAGCCTGCCAATCAAGCTAATTATTTAAGCCCAGTTTAAGCAGTGTGTGACCTGCTGATTGTAATTATGCATCTGCTGGACTCTGCTGACTCCCTCGCGTGTGTTTGTAGCTGCTGTATTGTTATCCCAGGCGCTGAGATGGCAGAGAGCGATTTTATTCCCAACGACCCCAAACTGCTCACCCAACAAATCAGCGAGGCGAGACTGACTAGCTAGCAGCTCTACAGGGTATCACACTGGTACTAGATTTGACCTTCGATTAGCAAGCGCAGGGAGAGATAAAAGAGGAATTCACCCTCTGGGATCATACAGCATCACTGAAAAAGAAAAAAGAAAAAAAAGAAGGCTGATCTGATTTTAGTTTCACAAACTGGGCATCGGATGCTAGCTTCTGTTTCCTGCTGGGAGGTAAATTGAACCCACTGTGGTCAGGAATGCTTTTCTTTTATCTTTGTTTGACTTTTAATGTCTTGTTTCACGCCCAGCACAGTCACTCTATTGGGCTGTTGGTCGACACCCCAATTAGGTTGGCGAGAGACGAGCAAATCAATGTCGTTTGTGCTTATGCAGTTCTCTATGCGCTCATGTGAAAAATGAAGTGCACCCCATAATTCAGTAGAGCCACTTTTAGAAGCAATAAACTGAATTAGTTTCTTTGTGAGGTGACTGTATTATTGGTCAGGAATTCTTGCCCGCTCTTCTTTACAGCTTTGCTTGAGTTCATTGAGGTTTGTGGGCATTCATTTGTGCACAGCTCTCTTAAGGTCCTCCCACAGCATTTCAATCAGGATGATATCTGGACTAGACCATTGCAACATCTTGATTCTTTTCTTTTTGCTGCTTTGCTTTGGACCGTTGTCCTGTTGCATGGACCAGCTTCAGCCAACCTTTAGTTGTCACACAGATGACCTACCATTTGACTCTAGAATACTTTTTTGTACAGTTGTATAACCCAGGTTGTTCAATCTTTTTCTAATGGTTCATGAACTCTAACATTTAGCATCCCGAATGACACTGGTAGACTTTCTGATGTAGGCATAGCTAGCTCAGTTGGTAGAGCATGGGACTCTTAATCTCAGAGTTGTGGGTTCAAGACCCACATCAGGTGTAGCTGTTTCTTCTGACTTTGTGGTAAGTTCTATTAAGATTGGCCTACTACATACATCTAACAAATATGCTGGAACAAACTGCTTGAGGGGGTTCACAGTTGCTAATGATCAGTTAGCTGCATCTTGTTAGCAGCCCTAATTCATACTAACCCAGTAAGTATGAGCCTGCTGTCTTTCAAATCCCTGTAGCTAACCTTGACTATGAGGAAAAATTAAATGTTCTTGATAGTCTGAGAATTTTTTTAACAACTTTGATTTTTCCTGTTAATAAATACATAAAATAAATCTTTCGTGTATCTGAATAATTTGCGGCATTTGTGTCCTGAATGTTTTTAGCAAAGTCTTCCATTCAAATGTTTTGAGGTGCCTCATCATAATGGTTTGTACACAATGCAGTATTCAGAGTGGTCTTTAGCACGAATGCTTAGAGTGGGAATGCAAAACTCAAAGACTGCAGCTAGTTCTTGGCTTCTGCAAAGCCTTGTTGTTTTCAGTCTGCGGCAATACATTTTTCTAAGTAGTGGCAAAATACAAGTATAATGATACAAGGAGCCATTAAGAAAAACAATTTAGTAGCAGTCATGCTAGCAGCTCTGTGAACCAATCAGCACTTAGGTTAAGGTCAGTGGGCATGATTTACAAGATTGTAGTGAATTTTTTCAAACATGCACAACCCAGTGTAACTGGGGCATTTTGAAATTTGTAAGAATTTGGTCAGTTTAGGATTAAGTCTTTGGGCACCCTCGCATCAGATTTTAATGTGGTTCATCAAGTATTTAAAGCTAAAATGATTGAATCTCATTGCTATTTACATAATCACATGTTTTCTCCAGTATTGTCTTTTTTTATTTATTTATTTATTTCATCCTTGTTTGTTTGAAATATTGTTATTATAATTTGTTATTGACAAGTTCAACTTTTTATTAAATCAGATATTCTCTTTAGAATCGGGGCTAATCCCTTATTCCTCTTTGTTAGATTCATTTTTTAAGGATGCAAGATGCAATAAACCTCAGGCTACAACAACAACTACACCTGCATCACAAAAGCACATACTTATACAAATACTGATTTTCACACATAATTTTGGTGTAATCGCCCTGTACAGATGGTAGCTATGGGACATAAAACACTATCTAAACTAAACCTTATATTCATAGTGGGTTTATTGATATGCAAACTGATCATCTACTCTTAAAATCTAATTCCCAGCCATTAAATTAGACATCTAAATAACTCTGCCTAAGCCTAATCAGAATTTTTACAATAAACCAGAGAAATGCTGTAATCAAACTCTCACATTTATCTGATTTTTCACAGAAACTTGGAGCTGCATGTAATTTGCATTCTCCCTTTGATGTACTCTAATTAATTAACATTTAGTCAGCCTCTCCATGCTGCATCTTAAGCCCTCAAAGTCTGCTAACCCTGATGCCATTCACTCAGCCAGACTCCTAGAATCGATTGAAAAAAATGAATTACTGCTTTTAAAGTCAAGAGCAGCAACCGCTGCCCATGAAAAAACAACAGGCAGCTTATTATTATTTACATCACCTGGCAGCACGGTAATCTTTCATGTTCTCTCTCAATTCTTCCAGACTACGCCTGGCCCCTCCCCAGCGCTCTGTGTCCGATCTGGATCTACCTGGACGTGCTGTTCTCCACCGCCTCCATCATGCACCTCTGCGCCATCTCCCTCGACCGATACGTCGCCATCCGCAACCCTATAGAGCATAGCCGCTTCAACTCTAGAACCAAAGCCATGATGAAGATCGCTGCAGTGTGGACCATATCTATAGGTCAGCATTTGCATGTTAATACATAAAGGTAGATTTGGCTCCTTTTCCACAGGCACTGTTAGATTCCTAATTAAAAAATATTTCAGTTAGTTAGAAGTGTAAGTGATGGCGTAATTATACATAGTTGTGCTGTTTATATTCATGGTGTCAAGAGGTGGAGGCCACTTGACAACATGAATATCACAAATACTCCAATTTCAGCCAACAAAACTGCTGTACAGGCTTTAGGATGGACTGTTAGTTAAATTACCCGTGCAGAAAACCATATTATTTGCCAAATTATCACATTACAACTGCTCCAAAAGGCACCAACATCACAGAAGTGGTCAGATTTAATGAGTAGCTGGCTAACAGACAGCTGGTTAGCAGACAGCTACTGGTTTAGGAAATTAGTGTAAAAGATACACGTAACTACCATGACATCATGAATTATTCTCTATCATATCGAGACTATCTCTCCACTCCGCTACATACTCCATATGTACAGAGTGGAGAGATAGTCTCTTACTCAGAGAACCAAGGTTACAATGTAACCGTACAGTTTGTGAAGCCATGTTTTGAAGCCTCGACACTGTTGTTTTCACCGTCACCATCTTGGTTTTAAAAAAAAATAGATGTGATGAGGACAAGAGTAAAACGGCTTGCTCACTGGTTAATGTCATGTAAACCACAAGTCATTGTTTAGTGAGCGCACCACTTCCTTTTTGAAACATAGTCTCCAACTCGGATTTACAAAATACAGTTGTATTTTTTACTTCCTATGACTGAATATTTGTGGCTCAGCACATAAACTGAGCAGCAAACTGTTTACAGAGGCTAGGACAGCAAGTGGTTTTGCCAAAGACTTCTGAAGGACTGGACATCTATGTACGAAGTCTTCCACCATACAGCCTTTTTTTTTTCAGGCTAAACTATATAAACAGGACAGAGCAAATCTTTTATTTGAATGAACTGTTATTTAAATGTGCTACCATAAGAGACGGCCAGAGTTTCATGACTTTACAACTTTGTTGACAACTCGTGACAAAGCGCTTACAGACAAACATCTTTGACTCATCCCACCATGTTGATTGGTGTTGTTAATCAAGAAAAACATGAAGTATATGAGGCTGTTACTGTAGCAAAACAATTTGTCTGTGTGAGCATGTGCAACCAGATTTGTAAATGTGTGAAGAAATCTGTAAGTGTGCAAAGTCTAAAAATCTTTGTTGACGCACTGAGAACACAGACAAGTCATCAGTTACAGCTCCTGGTTTAGATTCCATGATCTAAACCAGGGGTCCCCAATCCCAGTCCACGAGGGCCGGTGTCCCTGCAGGTTTTAGATGTGTCCTTGATCCATCACAGCTGATTTAAATGGATAAATTACCTCCTCAACATGTCTTGAAGTTCTCCAGAGGCCTGGTAATGAACTAATCACGTGATTCAGGTGTGTTGACCCAGGGTGAGATCTAAAACCTGCAGGGACACCGACCCTTGAGGACTGGGATTGGGGACCAATGATCTATACCTTTCTGTATATTATCTGTGAGTTAATTAGTCTCTGAACACGTTCTGCTTTTGCGCTGGGGTTGTTTCTCTTTTTTTCTTTAATTCAGTGAACTGGCCTTTCATCTTCACACATCTATTAATGAGCACAATGAAGAAAATACATTCTACCTTTGTGTCGCTTTGTGGTCAACCGCAAGACTGGATTTTTGTATTACACCCCTGTTAATTTAGCCGACCCCTACAGGTACACATGGAGAGTTTCCAGACTGATGACTGTTGTTAAATTTAATGACTTTTCAGAATCCACCTCGCAGTGTCTCCAAAGGTCCTATCAGTGCCCCTCCTGACTTTATGAAGCAGTGGGAACCCTCTCAGTTTGTTGACGCTCAAAGCGTCTGGCTGTGTGTTGTTACAGTTGGAAGTGATTTGCATCACAGACTTTTTACTCCCCAAAGGTGATCGCAGCACTTTTCTTATTTGATTTTGTTAGAAGCTAAGATGAAAATATGCAAATAAATTAATTTTGTGATCTTGAAATGTACTTGTTAAAGATAGCCAGAAGATATGTCGTGGAGTTATTGACACTTCATATATATATACACACTGCAAGTCAACATTCATATGTGGATGCCTAAAAGATTACTTTTAATGTTTTACCACAAGGATTTTAGAGTGAATTGTGGCTTTGCTGGAGTAAAAGCAGTCATCTCATATAGTCTTATGATTTTTATTTTATTTTTCGTTGTTATTTTAAAGGGACAGTACACCCCCAAAAAACAATTCAACATATTTTTTCCTCTTGCTTTTATAATGTTCATAAATTGGTGTAGATATGATTCACTTGCCAAATTTTGAATCAGGAAAAAAGCAACAATTTCTCTTTAAGAAATCACAACCCGGTTTCATTTAAAAGCTGTTTCCTCTCTGCTGAACTGCACCTGCAGCTGGGTAACATTACAGCTCAGCCAAGGGTGTTTAAATCTTCTCATGCTGTCGCAAGCAAGAGCTTCCCACCACACTTTCTTCTCAACCCACTGTCTCCCTACTGGGAGTCAAATACTGACATTTTGTAAAAATCACTGGCATCTCGAAATGATGCACAAAACATCCTTTGCCATCTGCGTCATGACGAAACAGGTTTAGGCAATATAAAAGACATGCCTCGCTCCCAACTCTCAACTTTAAACGCACTGGCTAAGGCCTGATTTAGATTCTGCAGTTACATTGTAGGTTAAGGAGCAGATTCGCAGCTGAAGCATAATTCAGGCATAAGACGTCAGTCGCACAGGTGTAGAAACCAGTCAGTGAGTCCCTATCAGCAAGGAAAATATGTCTCAAGCTAGATTGCTTTGGTTACTGTCAGCTTGCTGTGGTTGCCCGTGGTTTGGATAGAAATGGAAATTGTTTGCCTTCAAAGTAAAGAAGAGCTGCTTGCAAAAGCAGCTTAGGGTGGGGGGAAAAGGAGGATTACTTTCCAGTCTTTCAGCTTGCGTGACTGAAACTTTAGCAATGGATTTCCAACAGGAACCGCTCACTATCAGTCTCACTTTTCTTTAGAGATCGTTCTTTGCCAGGAGGTTGCAGACTAGTCTCTGGTACCTGTGCTCTCAGCAGTGGTATAAATGCCACAGAGCTGTCGGGATGTCACCGTCTTACATGAAAAGCAACCAGTGTGGCAGATTAGTTGGCTTCTGTGGTCTTTTAGGCCTTTTCGTGTGGCTGACCTGGTCGGTGAGTTCCTTCTTTGTAAGAATGAAAAAGACTTTTGATTTGGCCTCTTGTATAGTTTCCACTGCCTCACTGATTTTATTTTTGGGGTTTTTTATCATCTTGTCTTTCTCATCTCTTTGGACCTCATATTGAGAGTTTAGAATGAATTGTGCCTCATCTGGCTATGTTACTGCTTTCATGAACACCAATAGCTTTAAGTCTTGATGTAGTACTTTTGTGTAACACTTTGAATTAAAGCTGAAAGACTGCACTTCAGTCACACATTGACTGTTTTGATTGGTCGTGCAAAGAGGCAAGAACTTATGGACCTGGCTGCAGTCTTTGTTAGAGCATAAATTTCAGGCACCTAATGCCTTGAAGAATTTAGTTTATCAAGCATGCATATTTGTGTGTGTGTTTATATACAGTGGGGCAAAAAAGTATTTAGTCAGCCACCGATTGTGCAAGTTCCCCCACTTAAAATGATGACAGAGGTCAGTAATTT